GGCCCCGGGCCGGGCGCGGCGCTGGGAGGCGGGCGCAGGCGGCCTCATACCTGGTTACTGCTGGGCATTCCGTACAGGGCCTCCGCCAAGTCGGCCGCCCGCTTCAGCAGCACTTCCTGAGGGCGGGGGGGAGGAGGCAGCGCGACGGAGGGACGGCCCTTGGGGAGCCCCTCCTCGCCAGTGACGCACGGGACCCCCGCATTCCCAATCCCATCCCTCTCTCGAGTACCTTGGGCAGCCTCTCCGGGTCTCCGGGGTGTCTGGGAATGACTTTCTGTAGCCTCTGGAATCCGTAGTCGATGGTGGGTTCGTTCAGGGCTGGGGGAGAGGGGAGGGTGATGTTTGGAGCACGCCCACACCCAGATCAGGATTCAAGACATAAAACATGCAAGCTACCAGTCCAGAAAGTTCCCTGCAGGCCTCCCTGTGGGTGGCCTAAGTCCTTGTGCATTCTTTCACTCAGCAAGTATTTACCTATCTAGGCTTGGTGCCAGGCTCTTGGCATCAGAACACATGCATTGTACAATCCTTCTACAGTTCAGGGGGAAAAAAGGAAACTGAGGCCAGAAGTGATGCACACCTGTAATTCCAGCACTTGAGAGGTAGGAGGCAGGGCAATCATGAGTCATAGCCTGGATTACAAAAGGAGACTGTCTCCTACACTGCACTTACCCCAAAGATTTTCAAGCTTTTATATTTTCTAGTGGAAGGGCTCTAAGGACAATTTTCTATTTGCATTTGGTCACATCAAACTACTACTACTACTACCACTACTACTACTACTACTATACTATTTCTGGTGGCTCACTTCCCTAATCCTAGCTACTTAGGAGGCTGAGATCTGAGGATGGTAATTCAAAGCCAGCTCAGCAAGGAAAGTCCATGAAACTCCAATTAACCAGCAAAAAACCCAGAAGTGTCCAGGCACTGGTGGCTCATGCCTGTAATCCTAGCCACTCAGGAGGCTGAGATCTGAGGATCGCGGTTCAAAGCCAGCCTGGGCAGGAAAGTCCATGAGACTCTTATGACCCATAAACCACTCAGCAAACCAGAAGTGGCACTGTGGCTCAAGGGGTAGAGCTCTAGCCTTGAGCTGAAGAGCTGAGGGACAGTGCCCAGGTCCAGAGTTCAAGCCCCACAA